GTCCCCCGCGCGGCCGCATTCTGAACTAGCTGGAGCCTCCAGGTGCACCTCAAGGGGAGCCCCATGTAGAGAGCATTGCAATAGTCCAGGCGGGAAACAACGAGGGCTTGAGTGACCATGCAACTGGTTATCAGGCGAGCCTGATGAAAAGCCCCCCTGGCCACGGCTGTCACATGATCGTCTAAAGACAGCCGAGCATCCAGGAGGACGCCCAGGTTGCGGGCCCTCTCCGCGGGAGCTAATGACTCTCCCCCGATAGCCAGAGATGGAGCCAACTGGCTATGTCGTGACGCCGGAAACCACAGCCACTTGGTCTTGGACGGGTTGAGTCAAAGCCTGTTCCTCCCCATCCAGACTCGCACGGCCTCCACAAGTCCACAAGTCATAGAAGGGCCAAGTTTGAAGACCCCTGATCTACAGTATCCCCTTCTTCATTTGAGATAACATGTTATGTAGACTAGAATAAAGTACTTTATCAAATTGTAGGATTCTCAAGATTTAATGCATTATCAAGGAAACGCATCAGGTTGGTTTCCACATGAATCAGAATCTTCTAATGCAGTGTCTGACTCATTCAGAAGCTAGAATTTGTACAAAATATGCACAATTACTGTGCTTGCATGAACTGACATCTTTTTGAGTGTTAAATGGGCTTTTCTCCAGCACTTGGAGATGGAGAATCCACCATTGGGTAGTAGACTGTATTCCTGCCCAATCAGATCAAGTCAGCCAAAGTTGCCACGCCCGTCCTGGGCCCTAGACCCCAGTCTTTGACTTGATCTTGCCCAAGACAGGCGTTACAACTTGGCTCTAGGCAGGTATTATTATTACTACTCAATGGTGGATTTCCACTCACCTTCCTTAATTGGGTTTCTCTTTTAAAAATTTTTTCCCCTCTCCCTTATCCTAGGGGTATTGGATTTGGCAAAAAAATTTCCTTTTAGGAAGGGGCTCCTTCCTCTTTATTTCTCCCCCACCCCTCTAAATTCCCCTACCGGACCTTTCGAGCAGAGGCTAACGGCTGTTAGCCTCGGAAAATTCACTCTTTACAGGAGTTTTTTTCTCGTTATTAACGATCGAACGGGCCCTGAATTTACCGGTAGGAGACTAACGGCCGTCAGTCTCCGAATCCCACTGAGCCGATAGAGCTTGCGGCTGCAGCTCCGTCGGCCGTTCAGGCGGTCGGGGAAGGCCCGGGGGGGTGGGGGTGCTTTTCTCACTTAAACGGTTACTTCGGAAAGAGGCCAAAGGCCGTTGCTCTCCGGAGTCATCTGTTTTTTGACGGAGCTTGCTTTTGCAGCTCCGTGAACAGTTTGGGGCGCGCGAGACGACCAAACGGCTGTTGTTCTCGTTTGCGGAGCTGCGGAGGCTGCCTCGTGGCCCGTTTGTTACTAGGCCCTTCTTCTATCGTTCGGGAGCACCCGGAGGGGTGCGCGCGCGCGTGTGCAGCCTTTGCTCCGATCGGCGTCTACAAGGCTGATCGGAGAAAGCAGAAAAGTTTCACTTGTTTCTTCTGTTCTTCGCATGTGGTGCGGAGACACTAGGCAGTGAATTGATTCCATTGCTTCGTTTCTGGCTGAGTCGGGGGAGGTCGCCATTTTGGACCTCGTGGTCCCTGGTTTTCTGCCGCGGCCGCCATTTTGGGCAGCACGCATTCCTGATAGACCTTCAGTCTGACTTATTGGAAGGGAAAAAATAAAACTTGTTAATTGATTGAAAACTTTTCCTTTTCTTGCATCTCTAAAAGTAGCTCCATGCCTTGACTACAACAAGGGCTGGAGTAGTCACAGGATTTGAACACCAGACAGGCCACCATTTTAAACGGCCGCCATTTTGTACATCCCTCCCTACATATCTGGTGAGACACCTGTTGTCTCTTAATTATTCAAACATCCTTCAGTTTTTCAGCTAACTACTTCTTCCTCGGTTTGAAGTCTCCTGGTACTTTAATTGGTTTTGCAAATTGGCACTAGACTGGGATTCCAGGCACCCCGCAATAGAGTGTCTGTCCTTATCCCAGTACTTAGATACAGGTTCCAGGCGACCCCTGCAGAGCGTCTGTCCTTACCTGTACATCAATATCAACCCTTGGATTCCAGGTGCCCCAATAGTGTACCTGTCCTTATCCAACCGGGTATTGTATCTGGGTTCCAGGCGTCCCTTGTAGTCCGTCTGTCCTTACCCAGAGTCTGTCATTCTCCAGACAACAGGAGCCCCTTATTGTGTTCCACTGTTATCGGGGAATGGAGGAAGCTATCCCTTCCTCATTGAGTGCCCAGCCATCCTCATCGGGTTCTCTCGGTCCGGAAGGCACTGGTAAAGCGACCCATAAGGGCCGATCTACCTCCAAAACTACTAAACAAGCAGATAAACAGGCTACCAGGAGACACCAAGCCTTGGAAAAAGAGTTTTCCAGAGCGCAAAAGAGAGCCAGGATGGAGACATCTGAGTCCACGGGCTTAGTCCTCGACTTACCCCTCGGGGTATCAGCCTCACCTAGGGGTGTTTGGTCGGGTGGGGAGTCATTTTCTTCTACCGCGCAGGGCAGAACAGAAGAGGTTCATTTAGTGCCCCAGCCTTGTCAAGGCCAGCGCAGGGGGTGCCGGAGGCCACGTTTACCCCTACTGCGGCGGGGCTTCGCCCAGCTGACCCAATTCCCTTCCTTTCAGAAGAGCGTCTGTCTCTATTGATCGCACAGGCGGTAGACCATGCTCTGGATGCCAGAGCGAGGGCCACTAGGCCACTTCCAACTCCTATCCCACAGCCAGAAGATGAGATTCAATATAATCCATCATCTCCATCTGGGTCTTGTGTTTCTGAGGATTCATACCTCATTCATCCCCCTCTTGAACAGGAGATCCAGTTGTCAGAGGAGGAAGAGATCCCTCAAGAGGTTCCCTCGTTCGCTGGCTTATTTAACCCTGCTTTCTTTGTTTCCATACTGCGCAAGGCCACATCCATGGCTCACCTGGGACAGGGTTCGTCAGCAGCAGAGGATCCCGCTCCGCCAGATGCGGAGGCGGCCCCAGTTTACGTAGAAACTGTTGCGACACAACACCGTATCCCCTGTCCTTCCTTGTTCCTGAATGCTATCAAGAAGCAGTGGTCATCTCCGGCTTCGCTTCCCTTACCAGGTACTATGGACAAGAAACTCTATAATGTGGCCAAGGAGCTGGAGGAGGCTCTGGAGGTACCGCAGGTGGACGAACCATTAGGACCCCTGGTATCGGCTACTGCCATAACCGGCGAATTTTCAGAGGCCCTTAAGGCTGAGGATCGCAAGTGCGAATCCACTTATAAGAGGACACACCAGGCGGCCGCCTGGGTGATCAAGACCGCTACCTCTGCCTCTTTCTTCAGCAGGGCCGCCCTCACCTGGCTTCGGGAACTCCAAGCCCGGATCCCAGTGGAGGATGTCCGTACGCACCTGGATCTCAGTAAGATGGTGGCAGCTACCGAGTATGTGTCGGACGCATCCTTACAGGCCGCCAGGTTTTCTTCCAGAGCTATGGCGTCCAACATAACTGGGCGCCGCATGCTCTGGCTGAAACATTGGCAAGCTGACGCTAAGTCCAAATGGAAATTGGCAGCTGCTCCTTATCAGGGTTCCAAGTTATTTGGGGATTCTCTGAATCCCTATTTAACGGAAAACAAGGATAAACGCAAGGTCCTTAAAGACTTGCTAAAACGGCAAAATAAAAGGTCTGGCTACTTCCCACGGAGGCAGTCCTTTCGTGGGGGAGCGAGATATACTTACACACAGAGGAGGTCTGTAAAGCAGCCACCTGGGCTTCACCTTCCCCTTTCATTCGGCACTATAAAATTGCTAAGTTTGCCTCTGCTGAGGCGTCATTCGGAAGGAGAGTTCTCCAACAAGTTTTACTCCAAAGTGCCACTCAGGACCAGTCTACTACCCACCCTTAGGGACAGTAGGCTTTGGTATGTCCCAATGGTGGATTCTCCATCTCCAAGTGCTGGAGAAGGGGCGTTGTCTTACCTGAACGCCTTTTCTCAGCACGGAGATGGAGAATCCACCTCCCACCCTTATAGGTCTTTTGGCCTTGTATCAGTTAGTTTGTTGAGCCACAACGTCTTGCTGTCAGTCAATGGCTACGCTCTCGTCAAAGACTGGGGTCTAGGGCCCAGGGCGGGCGTGGCAACTTTGGCTGACTTGATCTGATTGGGCAGGAATACAGTCTACTACCCAATGGTGGATTCTCCATCTCCGTGCTGAGAAAAGGCGTTCAGGTAAGACAACGCCCCTTTTCACATGTTGAATGCTTGAGAATAATAATGCCAAAATGAGACTTGTGATGAATTTGATAAAAGGCTTCATGCTCACCAAATTATTTTCCTATCTGTAAGATCCTGGAATTAGTGTACTCTTTTAACCTCACAGAATAGGATATTTCTTATCCATATATCATATAGCAGTGATGGCGAACCTTTTAGAGACTGAGTGCCCAAACTACAACCCAAAACCCACTTATGCATCGTTGGGTGCTGGGTGGGTGTGGCCCATTGGGTGGGTGTGGCCCATTGGGTGGGTGTGGCTGCGGTGGTAACAGCAGACTGGGTGGGACTAAAAAGTTCAATCAATTCCAACTTTGCAAGATCTTTTTTTTTCCCACGAGAAGTTGAAATTGACTGATTGATTGAACCTTTTTTTTTGTACACCGTGGCAGAGGCCTAAAGCGAAAAGGTTTTATAAAACCCAGCTGAAGGCCTAGGACTGGGGCGACGGCGCCCGTGCCCACAGAGAGGGCTCTGAGTGCCGCCTCTGGCACCCGTGCCATAGGTTCGCCACCACTGCCCTAGGAGCACATATTCCACTCTAAACCCTCCAGAAAGTTCATCATTGGGTGGGCATGGCTGTGGTAGTAACGGCAGACTGGGTGGGACTGAAAAGTTCAATCAATCAATTCCAACTTTGCAAGATCTTTTTTTTCCCCGTGAGAAGTTGAAATTGACTGATTGAATCTTTTTTTTTTTTGCACACGGCGGCAGAGGCCTAAAGTGAAATGGTTTTATAAAACCCAGCTGAAGGCCTAGGACTGGGGCGACGGCGCCCGTGCCCACAGAGAGGGCTCTGAGTGCCGCCTCTGGCACCCGTGCCATAGGTTCGCCACCACTGTCGTATAGTATACATTTTTAAAAAATAAGTTCAAGTCTGAGATCAAGCTGAATTCCTGATAAATTCATGGCCCCATATATTTTTTTAGCCATGATATAAAATGCTTTCTTGACATACATTATAGCAACACTGTGGGTGTTCCCCATGTTTTTCTTTATCTAGGTTTTTGACTGGGCCCAGTGCAGCTTAGCTCAGTGAGATCAGCCATTTTCATTTGTAGATATAAACACGTCAGAACATTTCAATATTTTTTTCAAAGCCTTCATTGCTATCATACAAAGTCCTACTGTCAGCCTTGCAAAGCATATTGAAATGAATTAATTTTAATTTATTGTAAGGTTACATTAACAAAATCTTACAAGTTTAAATTTCTCCCCTGCTTCTAAGATGTTTTTCACCCTCTATCCTTTTCTGGGCTAAGATGCCTCTTATTGGACCATTTCCCTGGTGGTGGTTCTTCCCTCTTCTTCAAAGGTCATTCTCACATACCAATACAGCTAGCATATGGCATGTTTCTTGAGTTTTGATTCTCTTACTGTGGATAATTCTAAAAGGCAAAAGCTTTCTTCCACTTTAGCATTTTCACATGATTTACAATCATGGCCCCATTATTAGTAGCAATAGCAATAGCACTTATATACCACTTCACAGTGCTTTAAAGCCTTCTCTAAGCGATTTACAGAGTAAGCAAATTACCCCTAACAATCTGGGTCCTCATTTTACTGATCTTGGAAGGATGAAAGGCTGCATCAACCTTGAGCCGGTGGGAATTGAACTGCTGGCAGTCGGCAGAATTAGCCTGCAATACAGTATTCTAACCACTGTGCCACCATGGCTCTTAGTATCATGTTTTCCCCAAAGTAAGACCCAGCCAAAAGGTAAGCCCTAGCTTGATTTTTGGGGGTGGACCTAATATAAGCCCTACTCCCAAAATAAGTCCTTGTTTTGGAGCAAGGCACACGCCTAAAAATCAAGCTAGGGCGGGGGTGGGAAGGTGAATCTGCCCCATGCGCCACACACCCGCTTACCGGTAGGACCGCCACAGCCAGGCCTCCCCACTCCCTGATACTTGTCAAGTTGCCATTCCTGGCAAGAGGTTGCACAGAGCTTTGGGTCGTTGGTCCTGCTTGCAGCAGGAAGCCGCATGGTGCTTTGCGCCGTTTCTGCTCTTCCTGGCAGGATGCTGCGTGGCTCTTTGGGCTGTTTCTGCTGCTTGTGGCAAGAAGCCGCATGGCAGTTTGGGCTGTTTCTGCTGCTTGCAGCAGGATGCCGTGCGGCTATTTGGGCTGTTTTGCCAGCAGAAATGGCCCAAAGAGCCATGTGGCATTCTGCCACGAGCAGTAGAAACGGCCTGAAGTGTGGTGCAGCTTCTTGCCGCAAGCAGCAGAAACAGTGCAAAGCACCACGCGGCGTCCTGCCAGGAAAAGTGGAAATGGTGCAATGTGTTACATGGCGTCCGGTCGCAAGTGGCGCAAGCAGCCACAGAAGTCAAGCAGCGGCGTGACAGTTGTTGGGGTATGGGAGGTCTGGCTGTGGTGGTCCTAAGGTAAGATATTCTCCGAAATTAAGACCTAGTGGATCTTTTGGAGGAAAAAAAATATAAGACCGGGTCTTAATTTCAGGGAGACACAGTAGTAGTTTACTTATTAGTAGAATCATTGGATATGAGATGGGCAGTAAATAAATTTTCTAACTAACTATTGTTAATTTGTTATGCTTGCTCTGCCGGATTGAATGGTATTACTGCTGCTATGATCCTAAGCCTTAGACACGGGTGTCAAACTCGCCGCATCACGTGATGTGTCGCGACATATCTTGACTTTTGCATTGCCGGAGCTGGGGTGGGTGTGGCCTCAGTATAATGCAACCTGCTCTTAGATGGAGATAGGAATTAGAAAGTTTGATAGCTTGTTGACATACAGCTGTTGAATGACGTATAGCTGATAGATAAAGGAAAACCCAAAGCTTAGTAGAGTTTACAGCATTGGTCTCTGGTTTGTTCCACATCTTTTGTGAATTTGAATAATAAGTAACAGTTTTCACTGTAGAAATCTATAGACTATATCTGGAAAAGCACATAATGCTGAAGGTTTGCTTGAAAGTATAACTATAACCCTAACCCTAAGTGGAATTTTCCCAAATAGGATTTTCCCATATATGTTACCAGGAAACATAGATAGGGCAGCGTAGAAAAGTCAGTGCTGTCCTAACCATTCTCAAGCACTCTGAGTTTATTGGTGATGTCCATTTTGCTCTCTGAGTTCATGCTGACCTAACCGTAACCCTAAGTGGAATTTTCCCAAATAGGACTTTCCCATGTATTTTACCAGGAAACAGACAGGACAGCCTAAAAAACTCAGTGCCCTCCTAACCATTCCCAAGCATTCCGAGTTTGTTGGTGATGTCCATTTTGCTCTCCGAGTTCATGGTGACCTAACCCTAACCCTAAGTGGAATTTTCCCAAAATTGATTTTCCCATGTATTTTACCAAGAAACATAGATAGGAGAGCCTAGAAAAGTCAGTGCCCTCCTAACCATTCCCAAGCCCTCCGAGTTTGTTGCCGATGTCCATTTTGCTCTCCAAGTTCATGGTGACCTAACCCTATCCCTAAATGGAATTTTCCGAAATAGGATTTTCCCATGTATTTTACCAGGAAACATAGATAGGGAAGTCTACAAAAGTCAGTGTGAAATATAATATCTGAGATAAATGTTGTTTTAAGAAAATTCGTTCTATTACATCAAAACTTAAGGATGTGCATTGTAAATTTTAGCCAGTAGGTGCACATTCTTGACAGATTCAGCATTTTCAGGATTTATGTGTGTGTGTTCAGATTTCTTGGTTTGAAATGAATTTTGAAGTCTCTTGGAGACATTAATTTTGGCTGGACCTGTATTTGATTTGTGGAGAGTAAGATCATGAAAGATGCATTCAGTCTGCCTCATTTGAAGTATATTTTGCCTTTCAGTTGTGCCTAAAACAGGAATTGTATGAAGCGAATAATTAGAGGACATATGTGAAAGAAGGTGGATTGCTATATAGCAAGGATGCTCAGAAGCATTGGTAGTAGTGCCTTGTTAGAGGTGGTTATTAAAGCTGATACATTCCTGTTGAGAAAGCAAGTATATTTTTGGTTTTGAGTAAACACCTTTCCTCTTCCTCCTCCTTCATCAACAATAGTTTCATTTTAAAGGTTTACTGACAGTGCCATTGTTTAAATGTCTGGTTACATTTCTGAGGGTTAAATGCTATTGGGCAGGAAAGCAACATGAGTTCTTATTCTTCAACTGCTTGAGAAAACATTAGTGGCACAAACTGCAGCTGTTAGCAGAAAGTTTCTCTCCAACCGTTGGCTTAAGTGAAAGGGAGAGCCAGAGGGATTGCTAGAGCAGATTTTTTTTTATTTGTAATTGTTAGAAGCTTTGTGATTTTGAGTATGTAAAAGGGTAGATAACTATTCTATTTTTGGTTTCCCCTCCACAAAACAAGCCCATTGTTCCTTTTGCCATAGTTCCATATAGTATAGAACATTTTACTGATTGCTTTATTTTGGTGTGACTGAAAATA